GTTGCAATTAAGGTACGCACGAGAACGTCGAGTGTAAATAATAATATATGTATATATGCTCTTAATGTGGGCACCCTGTGACCCCTTTGCATATGGTATAATATATACATTTTTGCGAATGTTTCCGCAAGCGTGTGAACAATGGAAATGTCCGTCATTATTTTTAATTTGCTCGTGATAGTCGTGAAGCATATTATGATTTTTATATTGATTCAAGTTAATCACTTTTAGGGCTCTGCATATATGCAGGGCAGGGACAGTGCTACATCACTCCCGGCCCAGGCCCTACCAAATAATTTAGCCGCCCATCTTAATTAGGATCCCAATGCAACATTAGCTTGCAGCATTGGTCCGTACTGATATTAAAATGTGATCACATCTAGAATATTTAAATTGATTTTGAATAGTCCAAGTTTAATTTAACATTTTCTTATATTTTAATGTACATAAAATTTAAAATAATGATATTAACTAATGCTTTTTTTAAAAAATAAATTTATCACTAAAAAATTACAAATTAAAAATTTTAAATATAAACCATTTAAATCAGATTTTGAATGGTTTCGCTTTGATCACAACGATAACACACCCTACCTCTTAACCCAAAAAAACAAAACGATAAGAAACCTTACCATTTTGATGAGCAAAATGAATGGAAAAAAAGTGTTATAATTAAATAGTAGTAGAAGTATATGAGTGATAGAGGTGAGCAATAATTCATAATTTAAAATTTGAGGACTTGATCACCTTGCAGTCAATTGCATTTATAGGCTATAGAGGGCATCGATCAAGTTTTTTTTTTTTTTAAACCATAATTATGAAGCACGATCGATTTATAATATATGTTCCAAAGAAGGCATCCGAAGAGAAAAATGACAATGAAAGACACTTATGGCCTGTTTGGTTCTGTTTGGTTCACTGAATGACAGAGAATATAATGTAATGTAATGTAATGGGTAGGAATATAATACAATATAATGTAACAGTGATTATAATAAATTTGTTTGGTACAAGGTTAGGAATGGAGTAGTAAAATATATTTTTTATATTTACTTAATTACAGATAAAATTAAAAAGATAAAATATCCTTGTCTATTAAAAAAGAAGAAAACCTCCCTCCAGCAGTCCAGCGTCATGTACTTCTTCCTCATCGCAATGGAAATCCATCATCCTTAACCAGCTTCACTGACGATTCTTTTCACCCTTTTTGGTTACTAGTTCAGACAGCATTTGAAACCCACCAACCATAGTTCCTCAAGGTATACCACTTTCGAGTTGCCTTGCTGGAGATTTTGGGTTGATTTGCAATAAAATCCTTGTTTACTTGAAAAAAGAAGAAGGAAGGTGGGTGTGTCTAAATGTTGGGGCTGGAAAAAAAAGACGATGAGTGGGGTGGAGAATGAGGTTGGGGATGGAGTTTGATGGCAGTGATGCCCCGTCGTGTTTTACTTTTTTAAGGATAATAATGTGTTTTTCTTATCATGTAATCCCCATTCGTGAGGTCTATCTATGTAATCTGGATGTAGGCTTTTAAGGGAATCAGAATACCAAGATGTAATCTTGTTTACATTATTATAAAACCCAACCAAACAATTGAATCAGATGTTTGCATCAAAATTACATGTAATCCTTATTTTTATAATCCAACCAATCTGGCCATTATTATATCTGACTTTAACCCCTTCAAGAGCTTTTATATTTGAACCTAAAATCTCTGTAGCTCTTATCTCACGAGGAGGTGATTTCTTTCTTCTGTGGATAAATTTCAACGACGGATCTCAAACCCAAGACGGGAGTAATCTTGTAGTCACTGAAACCTGCTGTGTAATAACTTGGCCATTCTTGCTCGTTTCTTTCTCTTCCTGTGGACTGGATCATCATCAGCACATCAAACAAGAGCTGTGTTTCAACTGATTCACAGTTTTCCTTCACCACCATGTCTAAAACGATCACCTTACCCATTTCCCATTCATTGGTATTGCCTCTTTGCACTTCTTAAGTATCCTCACACATTCTTCATCGCTCCAGTCATGCAATATCCATGTTTTGCATTTTCAAGGAAAGAAAACAGTGAAAAGAATTGCACTTTATATGTTTGATTAAATGACTACATCAGTAATCGAAATTGCTATAGTTCGTGTTTGCTTACCTCTAGTAGAACTGCATCTGCTTGAGGAACTGCCTCAAACATGTTACCTCCAATATAGCTCAAGTTGTTAATCCCTTTCAAGCCAGCAACAACATGTGGAAGATCCAGCACAGTGCATTTCATGCTGGGGAAAGATTGGGCTATCGCCTTCGCCATAGTTCCTGTGCCTCCTCCAACATCAACCAATGACTCCATTCCCTCGAACGCCCACTTGGACTCGTGAAGCATGGCACTTGACACCAGGCGAGAATCGCAGAGCATGGCACTGTTAAATAGATTATTGAGCTTTGAATTACGGCTTGCATACTCCCAAATAGCCATTCCATGTGCTGTGTGATATGCGGTAGTATGATCATTCTGGAACCAAGCACTCAAATGATGCCAAGGCTCCATCTGAATAGGATCAAGTGACAGAAGCAAAGAAGAAGTCATGCTCAAGGGGTTGTCCTTTACAAGAAGCCTACCGGCATAAGTCAGAGCGTAGGCTTCTTCTTCTTCTTCTTCATGAAGTTTCTTTCTGTGGAAGAAACCTGAATGTGTGAGAATGGACGTGAGGCGTCCGATACCGTTTGCTTTTGCAGGGTTCATTGGTAGGGAAGCTGTGAGTTGAGAGAGAGACAAGAAGGGTTGGGCATGATTGTGGATGAGATCTGGGATACCGAGTTGAACTGCACACTTAAGACGCATGGAATTGACGAAGTTGTAGGTCTGGTTACGAACGTGGGCATGGCCATGGAACAACTCGTTTACATCAGATCATTTTGAAAATCCATTACGCCAACTTTGTGAGGCTTAATGGATGGCTAATGTGTCTGTGGAGTGCTAATTAACAACACCATTGTCAGTGCTTTATATAGTGAGAAATTCCCAATGCGGGACATATCAAGTGACTTCACTTGTTTGTTTTCAATTTTTGGCCAAAGTTGAAATTGTCTTGAGAGTCTCTTTTGCTGTTCACTGCAGATTTAAGTTGAAAATTCAAATGACATGCATGAATATAATGGGCCAATCCTATATTATTATTTATTGATTTAAGAACCGTTGAGATTTTAATATTTCTTATCTGTTGTGCTAGCCCATAATCTCCTGTCTGCGAGAAACAAATAAAATTCAAAGTTTTACCAGCGAGCGTATAACTATGACTGGATTCTTCACATGGCTGAATCTACCCAGGTCAGCAAGCATATCTACGTGGTGTGTTCTTCAATGCCAATGGCTGCTATGCGTTGATTTCTATTCTCGATATCGTCTTTGATCATTTTGTCCATTTCAGGTGTCAATTCTTAAATTTTATTAATAGCTCAACAATCAACTTGTTTGAAGGTGGAAGAAGAAGAAAGATGCTTGTTCTTTGTGCTTAAATAATTGAGATGGAATTTGCCATACGGTCATAAATATAGCTTGTCCCGCTTCTGGTCAGCTTTTCAGACTGGTAGACTATATATATCTGCCACTTTCATCTCCCAACCATTTCACTCATCAATTTTATATTATATTGCTGGATTATGTGCATTATATATAGAGATACTCTCTGCAATTCTTAATATAAGACCCATCCTATAATGTAAATTGTACGACAAAGTGGGTTTTTCGTTAATGACAGGAGGAGTATTTGTTTTTTTGGTCCAATTATAAAACAAACAAGAAAAGCGTAGAGATTTGATCTGCCACTTGTGGAATTCTGGTTCGATTCGCTGTCTTTCTCCCGTGAATTCTTGTTGTGATGAGAAGGGGTAGGTACGTTAATAATAATATATGGTTGGTTGAGATTAAATTTGGAGGAGGGTATCATGTTCTGTCCTTTCATGATTCTATCTGTTTCAAAAATAGGAACTGAAGTTTGCTCAGTTGGTTCCGCTTCTTGACCTACCAAAATAATTTTAGTGCTAACACCAAATAATAATACCAGACAAGCTATCTGTAAAGAAGGTTTTCACTTTTTGAAAAAAATGATAGAAAAAATGATATTACCTCATACGGTTCTTCAAGGAAATTATTCCTTACTGCTAGTTGCAGAGAATTATTCTCATCTTCAAATTCTATGCATATCTACATTTTAGTTTTGATTGAAAAAACAAAAATATGATAATTGATTTCATCTTATTATTAATCATAAATATGAGTAAGTAGAGTTCGTTTTTTCCCCCCAAAGGTCCTTCAAGCTGCTTTTAAAATAAAGAGATATCCACCCTCTCCCTTTTGCATTTGTATGTCCTATATTTGAAAAATAATTATAGGTTTTACAAAAAAAGTAATTTAAGGTAATTAAAAACTAAATAAATGTCAGATAAATACCTTTTTTTTTAATGCAAATTGATCTATTAATTCAACAACCAAAACAGTATAAGGGTTTTAACCAAGAACAAGACCTACTCTCCTTCATCACCATTCCACTTAGAGGAGGAGAAGGTTGATTAAGGATACAAAAATTATCATCAATCTTATGAGATAATTTAGCTAAACGGTCCGCCAAAAAATCAATACCTATCAATATGATTAAAAACAATCTGCCAGTCTCTGTCAATATCTATCCTCATATCGTCAATTAAGTCTTTGAAAGGATAATCATCCTATATCTTTTCAAGTTCCATTTAACAGTTCGTCTCTCACACACAAAAATTTTATATATTATGACAAAAAGTCTATTTTGTTATTTCTATTTTCTTTTGCCAGCTACTTTGTCCTTTCTCAAAACTTACCAAAATTTAAAAAAAAAAAAAACTTAAGCTGGACGAGTGGAAATTGGAAAATAATAAAGCGCCATTAAAAAGAGAGGAGGGTTTTATTTAAAAGAAAAAGAAAAAAAAATCAGAGATGCGGGCAGCGTAAAAATTAAGGGAACTAGCTTGATCCGGCGGACCAAGCAGTCCCACTACTTTCCTCACTTTCCTTTTCGCAAGCGTTCTTGTCGCCACTGTACTCATCGCGCGGTAGCGCTTGAAAACGGAAGTTACTTGAAAATTCTTCAATTCTGTCCAATTTCCCTGTAATTTTGATGGGCCGAAACTAATGAGACATGGTGGTCCTACCAGTAGTGAAGCTAGGAACGCTTGCTTTGAAAACATTATGCAAACCTGTAGCTAATAGGCTTAAGAAGGAGGCTGGCTATCACCCAAAGTTCCGTCAGTTCATCATCAGCATTGCCCAGGTGCCTTGCATATTTTATCCATTTTTTGTTTCTTTAGATTCGTTTCATCTTTCTGTGGTATGGGCATCTTTTTTCTCTTCTAGTTTTATCTGTTGTATTTTTTTCCTATTTCAACATTGTTGAATTCTTAGGCGATCACTGTTTGTGTAGAACGAATCTTGAATTCTCGGATTTGGTATTCTTGTTATTTTGTTAATTCCTCTGATATGGACTGATTCTTGTTTTCCTTTCTCTGATCAGTATTAATCTGATGCTTAGCTGCTCACACGGTAACATTTGTACATGGTTCTATGTTAGGCGAATCATAGAGTAACAACAAAATTGCAGAGACGCATATATGGTCATGCGACTGATGTTGCCATACGCCCACTGAATGAGGAAAAAGCTGTTCAAGCCGCTGCAGACCTTCTTGGGGAACTCTTTGTTTTCACGGTAGTAATAGGATAGAATCATCGATGTTCAGTTTTCTTCTTTTATGCTTGTTTTTCTATTGAGAGAAGAAGATTCAGTTCAGCTAAATTTGGATTTGGACTTGCGATATGTTCTTACTCAAATCTCTATGCATATGGCTACGTGAACTATATTAATCTTTTAGATACTGCCCCTACTTAGACCCCTTCAGGTGTGGCTTGTTCGATTAGGCACTCAACCCAATATATTTGTAGTGCTGGTTTGGGCCTCATAAAAAGTGGTGGTTGGCCGTATAAATCTTAAGTTATGGGTTAACTTCATAGTTGCTGCTGGAGTGAAACTCTGGACACGGATTGACTGGTATTTGACTATAAACATAAAATTGGTTCCCTCAAGGAAGGCCAAGAGCTCATTCATGCTCTTGCACATACCCTTGCATTGGACATAAGATATTGTATGATTACATGGAGGAGACCTCAATGAGGTAGTTGTCTTGCCTAGAGAGGAAATTGAACCGTTGGACAAGATGTTTAAGTAAGCGTATTGAATTGGAGAGACTAGTTTTCTGTCCATTGAAGTTGTGGAAATTCAAATGAAGATGTGGTTGAACATACCATCAACCAGGAAATGTGAACGAGGAGGTTCATTTAGTCTGTATGTCTATCATTTGCTCAGAAGTTTTTTGACAGATGGAACCTAATTGAAACCCTTATCTTATTTACCTTTTTTCAACCAGACTAAATCTTGAAATTATTTGTAAGCAGTAGTACTTTCTGTAATTTGGTCTCAGCTGCCAAGTCAGATTATAGGCTTTAGTTATCTTACAATCACTGTTTGATTTGCCTTAATTTCATCCTTGCAAGAATAGTAATATATGCCAATTTCTTTCTGGGGTGCAAATTATCTTAAGCCCCATCTTCATCAGAAGTTCTTCTAAAAAGGAGTTACGACATATAAAAAATTCAGTTTCCTTTTATTTAGGTTGCAGGAGCTGCTGTCATCTTTGAGGTGCAAAGAAGTTCGAGATCAGAAGCAAGGAAGGAGGAAATACGTAGACAGGAAATGCAGGTTGGCCTTGACACTTTCTCCCACTTTTGTATATTGTCTAATGAGGGTAGATTATGAAGGACTTTACTGAAGCAAAATTGGTCTCCTTGTAATCCTTATATTTGGTGCCATTGGCATCTGTTTTTACCATCTGTCAGAGCTTGTGGAAGTTTTACACTGAAAATCGGATGCATTATTGATCTCTTGTTTACCTTCCATAGGAAGGGGAATGTAAGTTGTTCGGGGACACAACATTTTACTCTAAAATGTTTTTTTCTTCCCTATGACTTTATAGGCTATAAAGGATGGGAATGAAAACCTAGCCAGAGAAGTTGAACTTCTTAAACAAAAGCTCGAAGAGCTGGAAGAACTTGCTAGAGGACGAAGACAAACTGGCATCCTTAACTTCAGGCACACTCATGCAAGTGAAGACAGACAAAAAAGTCCCAGCTAATTGTTGCAATTGGGACTGTGCATAGCATGTGGTAAGTATTAGCTAATTTTACTTGAGCCGTAGTTCTTGGTTAGGAACATATCTAATTTGGCTGAACGTGCGGGATGTGACAGCATGATGCTCACAAGCTGAGTTATCTTTTTTTTTTTTTTTTGGTGTCCTCCCTCCCCTCAGGGGCCCCCCCGGGGGGTTGTTTGGGTGGGTTGGTCAGGTGGAACACTATATGCAAAACCGTAATAACCAAAAGCCAACTTATTGATGACCGTTTTGTAATTTCGTACTTCTCACCGGAAGTTTCTTTCTGGTGGCAAATTCTGCTAGAAACAACATTGTTTAAGCATTTGGATTATCCACCGTTTTGTTATCAATCTTTTGTTTCCATTCACCTGCTACGATTTGTGCTCTCAGGGGTGCCCATATGATTTATCTTAGTTGAACAGCAGGAGAGTAAATTTTTCATGGCAGTCCCATTTAACTATACATCTTTCTTGTTCTTCAATCCTTTATTCATTGCGGTGATTGCTTCCTTTCCGGTATAGTAAATTTAATTTTACAGGAAGGGGGAGGGGGAAGGCCCCTCTGATTATGGCCCCAATGCCAAGGGGATGCAGCAGAGAAACGTACAGGGGCTTCTCATCTTTATTTCATAAATATACCATCAATCATGTGTTCAAGTTTGCGTCTTATCTAGTTAGTAGTTTGTCATCGTCTTTTCTTACTCTACAAGACTATCCCGCCCATTATGTTTCACCTCTTCTGCCTGGAAACACACCAGACAGATGCCTCTGCTACTGATTCCTTTTGGGTGCTGTATCTTTGTCTTGTTATATTATTCAGTTTCTGCTCAAGCAATTTCATATGTAATTTTTATATTTGATGACATGATCATGCGGAAGGCCATAAGTTTTTGTTAATGGGCTAGTCGCTCTGTTCTTATTCTTACCATCTTTTTTCAGGGAGATCAACAGCCTCCGCAAGACTACATTCTTTTATAAAGGATACTTGTGGGGAATTCTTAATGCTTGCAATGATTTGAGTTTGATCGTCTCCTCCACAAATGCAAAATTCATCCTGAAACTTTGCTGCTTTACCCTGGGTTTTTCTCAAGGGCAGTGAGCCTTTGAACTGGATTTGTTCTCAACCAATTCCATCACTTGGTTGACCTCCTGTGTAATCCTTCTTTCGCTGACCCTGTTTTTTTTTTGCTTTTTCTTTTTCTTTTTTTTTTTGGGAATTATTATCTCCACTGATTATCTGAAAAACTCAGAATCACGAGCCGTATAGTCCTTGCTCGTTCATTAAGTACTGACCGGTGACAAATGAAAATGATCATAATCTGCGCAACATATATTATTACCTCTGATATTAATTATAAGACTTTATTTGTAAACTACAAACGAGGTCTTATAATTAGGATCGGAGGTAGTATATTGAGAGAGTTGAAGATTAATATTTTGTCTTGAGTAAGTTTTATTTTTGTTGATAGTATTAATATTAATATCAATTTTAAATACATAAAATTGATATAATTTTAATATGCTTAATAAATCGATTTTAAGATTATCTGCAGAAGAGATTTTATATCATATATTTGTGATATTTAATATTATTTTTGTATCTGTTGCATATTGTATCATCCAGATTCCACATTGAGAATCCAACCAATTTAGCCCAATGAGGTTAGATGAGGCCAGAAATTTTTAAGGAATGACAGCTTGATCCAACAGGATCAATTTTAATGATAGTTAGGATAAATAAATTTACTGAAAAATGAGTTACCAATCAGATCAAGCATTTAAAACACCCCTAATTATTTGCAATTAATTATCAAATTTACAATATCTAAATTGATATGCGTAATCCATGTTTTTTGGAATAAGATTATTATTAAATTAAACTTTTGACAAGTAATGTAAAAATTATTCTTTAAAAATGATTTTATAGCTAGAATACGAACCGTATGATTTATATGAAATATAAAGTAAGAAAATTCAAATTATATGATTCATCATAATTTTTACGTCATCTACATTGGTGTAATAACACTAATATATTGACTTTTATTAAAAATGATAAGAAAATGAATTATCCAACCTAGAAATGCTGACTTGGATATTGTTAATTAAAAGAAATAATTGTTTTTACCGGAATTAAAAGAGTTAATTTTTATCTTAGAGATAAATATATTATCATCATTATTTTATAAATATACTAGTGCGAGTCCCATAAAATTAAAATCGCACCAAAACGGCGGCGGGTAATGCTTACCGACTCGCGGAAAACAGGGTCTACGCCCTAACGACCAAAGTAGGGACACATCGGGAATTTTGATTTGCATCGGGGCGTTAGGAGTACGCAACTCTCTGCTTTTTCCCGGGAACAGCACAGTATCTCCCACGATCTTGTTCCAATTCGGAGTACTGGCTACGCTCCCCGAAGCTATTCTTCCAGGTGATTCTCGAATATCCTGTTTGTACGTATGTCGCTTTGTCGTGTCTGATTCAAGTTTCGAACTTGGTGAAATTAACGTATGATGACTTAATAACTGTTTATTTTTATTCCTGGAATAGATCATTGAGGGGTTCGAGTTCAATAGTCTCGTTTCTTTTTTGAAAGCAATTTAGTGGAGTTTCTAAAATTTACACCAAGTGAACAATGGACGATACTTCGAAGAACAAATATGGATCTTCCTCTGACCCATCCATGAAAAATAAGGCTAAACAATTGGTTGATGATCTTCAAGGAATCTTTACCAAGCTTCGATCTGCAAGAGAAGAGAATAGGTCTAATGATATAATTATCTACGAGGAGCTGGTGCATCAGACTCTTCAAGAGTGGAAAACAGAATTGAACGCGCCATCTCCAGCCTCCTCCTTAGCTGTATGTATCTAATTTAGGTAAAGTTTAATAACTGTTTGTTTTGAGGCTCCCCCATCAAAATTAACATGCTGAAAAGCTTCTTATGAAAGAAACAATCATGTAGTGCTGAAGTGTGAAAATTTATACTCGCGTCATTTATTTGGGGGAGAACATATTTGTCCATTGATAGATACTTTATCCTTCTCTTAAAGATTTGTAAATATCAAAATATATGTCGGTATTTTCTAGGATGGAAATCTTGGATTATTTTCTGAGGAGTTGGCCCAGCTTTTGCAAGAGCTTGAGGAGGAAGACGATGCGACTAGTGAACTGGCAAAGAGTGCGCCATTGAAGACTGAGCCAGATCTTCATAACATCAACGAAACCAACCGTTCATCATTTCAGGAAGTGAGTTCTTTTCAATAGTTCTAGAGGCCTTTTTATGGTTTATAGTGACTGCTTGGCTGATTATTGATTTGAGAACGACAAAATTTATTGTTATCACTTATTATGCTAACTAGTGTTATGCTTTCTGTATAATTTTTTCTTTTTAAGTCAAAGAATATCATAAAGAATGTGTGATTTGTTGTATTGTAGCATAATGGATGAGTGCTAAACGGATGCCTGTGTGGCCTTATAGCCTACCCATGCAAACCCATTGGCTAAGACGCCAGGTTTCTTGATTTGAGTTGTTGACTTAAACTTGTAAAGAAATTTGTTGGTTGAGGTTTAACGACAATATTAACAAAATCATGGTAAAGGAAAAGGAAATATGAGAAGGATATGCGTATAGAAATATTCCACTTTGTCTTTTCTGTCCTTTCAAAGCTTTAACTAGTTCATCTTTCACTTGTCTGCTTGTCTGCTTTTTATTGATTTTGTCTATTATTAATAGATACTATGTACATCGCAGAAGTGTTCTGATGAGAACCAACAAGGTCATGTTCTGGAAGACTTTTGCCAATATGAAGGCGCTGCTTCAACTCCAAACAGAAAAAATGCTGTTAATAGCTTAGATATGATTACTCAACCGGATAACCATCAACTCAGTTTGAATCAAGATGTAAATTACTTCAGAGGAGGTCATAACTCTGATTTGATTGAACAGTGCAATATATATCAGGAATGCAGGCAAAATTCAGCCATAAAAAGCACAGACCCAGATCAATTTACTTTAAATGAGGATTTTGATTGCGATGTGTTTGTTGGAGCTGATGATATCCAACAGTCTGGAGAGGATGTTTTGCCTAATATTCTTCCGAATATATGCCCTCCACCTTCTGCTTTTTTAGGCCCAAAATGTGCTTTATGGGATTGCTTTAGGCCAGCTCAAGGGTTAAAATGTTGCCAGGACTACTGCTGCAGTTCTCATGAGATTTTGGCAAATAATGAGGGTCTTCCCGGCATGACTCCAATTTTGCGTCCTGGGGGCATTGATGTTAAGGATGGTCCTTTGTTCGCTGCTGTTAATGCGAAGACACTAGGTAAGGAGGTGGGCATCCCCAATTGTGAAGGTGCTGCTTCAACTAAATCCCCCTGGAATGCTCCTGGTAAGTTTGCATGAACTCTTATTCTTTGTATCTCTGTGTAACCTGTTCATGTTATCTTTTATATGCTTCTAGCATCAGGTTTGCTTGGATCAAGTGTGGCGGAAATTTTTCCCCCCCCAATCCATGTGCTGTTCAATGCAATTAGTTGTCAGTGTTGTTCAGTTTGAATTATCGGCTTCTCTCTGTTGTTGCAGAGTTATTTGATCTTTCTCTTTTCAAGGGTGAAACGGTGCGGGAATGGCTGTTTTTTGACAAGCCTAGAAGGGCTTTTGATAGTGGAAATAGAAAACAAAGATCACTCCCCGATTACAGCGGACGTGGCTGGCATGAATCAAGGAAGCAAGTGATGAAGGAATATGAGGGACAGAAGAGGTCCTATTACATGGACCCTCAGCCCCTAAGTTATCTTGAGTGGCATTTGTACGAATATACGGTCAATAAGTATGATGGTTACGCATTATATAGACTGGAATTAAAGCTTGTAGATAAAAAGAAAAGTCCTAAAGGAAAAGTGACGAAGGAATCTCTTGCTGATATACAGAACAAGATGGGAAAGCTAAGTGCCGATGCTCCGTGAAGAAAATGACCAAAGATCCTACTTGAAGGATAACGGATGACCTAGTCTGGGTTTGGAAATATAGCATCTCATGAAAAGTTGAGAAAAAGAAAATACTCCGTAGGTTGGTTTTGCCAAATGTAAATATTTGACTATGCAAGATATAGCATTTGGAAACTCTTGCCATTCATTGGAAACGGTCATATCAGTATCTTGTGTTTCAATTTGCCACTCACAAGCTCATCTCTTCCCTAGCTACTATGCTGCTTTTGGATATCGGTGTCATGTCAAGTCAACTAATAAGGAATCAATTAATTCTTTCTTGATGATAAAATGCATTCTCGAGGGTAATGTAATGTAAGTGATTCTCATGAAGCGGCGTTATGAAAAACTCGTACCCTCAGTAGTATTTTTTCACCTATAGATTTAATTGTGTGTGTGGATGTTTTCGTTTCTCAAATAAATATATCACACAGCGCGGGCTGAAAGTAGAAGTCAGAGAGCATGAGCACATAAAGCACAGATCTTGTTGTAATTTTAAAGTATAAAGCAGGCAAGGTTGAATGTAATATGCTATTATTTTGCGTTTAATATAAATCATCTTATACAAACAATGCAAACATAAAACATAAGCACTTCACATTCAAAATCACGTAAGTTAATTCATGTCGTCATTATCCATCGGAGTTCTCACAGCTTTGCAAATACAAGTACTTCGGCCTCTTGGTTATCAATGTGGGCATATACTACGTAAAGATGGTCAAATTTGCAGCGATATGATATTTTGAGGGGACATGCTTTCAAGGCTTAGAAATAGAATCAAGCTTGAATACAAAAGCTCAAGCCAATCATGGATGTTGGGTTCAAAAGACGTGACGGTAAATTCAGGTTTGTGTAGACGTGACGAGAAGCCTTCCACAGTTTCAATTACTGTAAGACGAGGGTTATGCATAAGGTTGCTCGTAAATATTCGTCGGTTGCGTCTTGCGTAATAGTGCACGTCGGGCTTGAATAAAATATACGAATTCTTTTTCGTGTTGGTTATAAACTGAAAAGTGATCTTCTTACTAAACTTCTTTTCCTTTAAAAAAAAAAAAATAGAGGGAGAGTATACTTGGGGTGGGGGGGATTCCAAACGCACAAAATACACTTCATAACACAGTTACAGACAAAACAGCCTCTAATCGTAATAACTAAAAAAACAGATAAATTTTATCATATACTTCCACAATCAGTACCACTTCATAATAATCGTCAGTTATAACAAATAAATACACTTCATCAACATAATCCTGCTTATGTTACAAACAGACCATAAACATTACAATCTCTTGTTGACGGTAGCTTTATTAATCCAATTGCTATTGCGTAAAGCATAAACGTTAAAATGTTCACTTCCATATCAACATATCCATATACTCCTCTAGTCTTATTTATAACACAGAGAGAGATTTTTTTTTTCCTTTCTATTCATAAGTCATTTAATTAAATTTTCAGTGTGAATGTACTATTTTGTCCTTCATTTATTATAGTGTAGGCAGTTATCTCTTTTTAAAAGGTGTATATATTAAATATGGGTAAAGTTAAAAAATTATAATATTTTAATAAAAAGTTAATGCATTTTAAGATTTTTCCTGGTATGTGTGAAATATGCTGGAAGTGCTTTATAAATAGGATCAATTGGATATATTACAAATTTGTAACAAGTTGCGTTATTCATAATTATGAATATATAACTCCATACATTACATGGGAAAATGTGTCTAGTTGACACAAAATACTAAATACAACATCATAAGCACAGAAATTTTGCACCAGCAGTTAATGTTCAACAGAGGCCCAAGCATTTGAGTCGATCCAGTCATAAGCAATAGGGCTCAAAAAAGCATCAGGATACCAAAGGAACTGACCAGGGCTAGTGCGTGGGGTCTGAGTTCAGAAGATAGTTTTGTCACTTCTTTCCTCACTTCAACAGCTTCATCTCTTGACAAGTATCCATATCGGAGGAAGGAAGCATCTTCATCCAAGCAAGTCAAAGCATACAAGGATCTCAAAAGCCCGAAGATATTCTGCAGATTAAACACAAGCAAATATGAGTACATGGGCCTGCTTAACCTCTTGAGCTCAGTATCCAAAAATCCCAGCCGCATTTTATAGCACGCAGTTAAATGAAGGGGGGAAAACTCGGAGTTTTACCTTCAGGGAACCAGCGGGTAAAGTAGATTCAGCGTCCATGAAGGTTTGCAGTACCGCTCGTTCTGAGAAAGCTCTACCCAAGTCCTCAGCAAGCTGAAAACTCTGGTACAGTAAAGAGATTCAAACTATAAGACAGGGAATGGATGAAGGGTGGTTGACAAAACAGGGAGGAATCCTTACTTGAATGAAGGCAGACTCTGCACTTTCTCCCTTAGCTTGATATTCTGACACCTCTGCAGCAAAACGACTCAAGAGATCTCGCTCTCTTGAATGGAATATGTCAATCTGTGTAAATAAGAGGTAAGCATGTACCAAAAAATAATAGAGGCAGGTAGTAGATTTCAACCTGATCACTCCAAATTGAGAAGGTCCAATGAAATCACCTGAGATTGGCTGCTCCTGATGGTAGAACTTGTTAGCAGTGAGGGGATAGTAGGCTGAGGTTTGTTCATGTATTCTAATCCCAAACCCGCAAATGGCTTGTTTTTCTTCTGATTTGCTCTGTATTCTGCAAGAAGTGCTTTGCTCACCTGAGTCAAAATATAGCAACCATGAATTTTATACATCATATAGAACACAGAAAAAGAAGACAAAGAAACTAGCATGAATAATCTCATGTAACTCAAATGGTGCCATCACAGAAGCCCTAACTGCCTAACAAGGTTCGCGAATCTCAAATTCCAAGAAATTCTAAATATATCCTGGGTAAACTGGACAATAAAATTCAAGGACATATAAAATGATTCATTTCTGTCATATACCATAAAGACCTAAGAGTTCAGATAATTAGGTCAGCCTAAGAATATATTTCGTCTCTGATGGGTAGTAAAGTAGGATAGGAAGCCCTCACTACTTTGCACCAGCACAACAAATAACTTCTAGGCTAGAAAAAGTTGCGCTTAAGTATCATACATCACAATCAACAGAATACTGCATCGTACCTGCTGCATCAGAACATGGTTATCCCCTCAAA